GTGGTTGTTTGGTTTTTTTTGCTTCTCACTTGTGTGTGGCCCCCAGCTGATTTTTCTGTGGGTGAATGACCCCAATCCCAAAAAGGTTTCCCACTTCTGCCTTAAAGCGTGGCTGGCCTCTGTATACAGTCCAAACCAAGCCTGTCTAGACAAGGTAGTCCTACTTACACCTACAGTTAGAGACCCTTTTGTGATGGTTCATCCCACAAATGCATGCATGGAAGTGTCCTCCAGGCTCTAACTCTGCCTCTAGCCACAGATGTGTCAGAGATGAGATGAGGCTTGCAACTAAGAAGACTTGGGATTAAAGGTATCAGGTTCCAGGCAGAAATTTCACTGAACATCAGTGTCTGGGAGCTAAGGGCAGTTTGCCTTGCTTGCCAGATATTTCAAGCTGAGCTAGGAGGGTGATGTGTATTGTCATTGACTGACAACACAATTGTGAATTCTAGATAATCTGAGTGGTGCTTGCTCTTCTAGCATGTGACAGGAAGTCCTCTAGCTGTAGGACTTCTGTATTGCCTACTCAGAATAAATTGGCCAATCGTCTCACCAGGCCCTTTCATAACCAGGAGTGGTTCCTCCACCTGGATGTTGTGATTGACACTTTTCAAGGGTGGGGCTTTGCTCATACAGACTTAGTCATAACATGGCATAACAAGAAATGTCTGCAGTTCTGTTCCTTCCTAAATTACAGCCTGGGCTTGCTTGCGGATGCCTTTCTTCTCCCTTGGAAGAGACACCTGATGTAGGCATTTCCACCTTGCCTGCTTGTACACAAGATATTGCTGAAGGTCTGACAGGAGGGAGCATCCGTGATGTTGATCGCACCAGTGAGGCCATGTCAACACTGGTTCACCATGCTTCTAGATCTGTTGTTGGTTACACCTAGAACCCCACCTTCGCTCCCTCCCAGACTTGATTACTCAGGGCATTGGCCACCTCCCCTCACAGCATGGAAATTCTGTGGCTGTCCCCTTAAGAGCTCTTGTGCTCAGTCTCTGTTATGGAGATTCTCTTGAGAAGCAGAAAACCATCCACTAGAACCACTTATTTTGCTAAGTGGAAGAGAGTCTCTATTTCATCATTGTAGAAGAATATTCAACCTTTAGACATTGGTCCCCTTCATGCTGGACTATTTATTACACTTGAAATAGCAAAGCCTATTAGTGTCATCAGTAAAGATGCACCTGTCTGCCATCTTGGCTTTCTAGCCCAGTTGAACCAGCTGGTTGATTTTCACTTAGTCCATGGGTGGCCATTCCCTCAAAGGACTAAATCAATTGTTCCCTCAAGTAAGACAGCCAGTTTGACCATGGCATCTCAACCTGATGCTGTCAAAGCTGAGGGGCCCTCTGTTTGAGCCCCTAGCTATTTGCTCTCATCTACCTTTCCTGGAAAAAAAGCATTTTAGGTGGCTATAACTTCAGTCAGGTGGGTGCCTGAGCTTAAAGCCTTGACTTCTAAGTCTCACTGTACTATCCTTTTTTATAAGGACAAGGTACAGATGCAGCCACACCTAGCTTTTTCACAAAGATAGTTTTTGCAGTCACAGTTTTGATAGTAATGAGAATGAGGGTATATTTTTCTTTCCAGTGTTCTTCTCTAAGCCTTATGCTAGCAACCAGGAACAAATGCTCCAGTCCCTGCATATCAGACAAGCATTGGCTTTTTACATTGAATGAGCACAGCTGTTTCTTTGGAAATCAACTCAACTCTTCATTGCAACTGTGGGGTGAATGAAGGGGGCTCCCAGTGTTGTCCCATAGAATCTTCTCCTGGATCACAGCCTATATTAGGGCATGCCACAACCTGGCAAAGATACTTGCTATTGCACTGATGGCACACTCCAGAACAGTGCAAGCATCCTTAGCATCATTCTTGACCGGTCTCCATCCAAGACATGCAGGGTAGCAATGTGGCCATTGATCCATACCTATACATCGCTCTACGCCATTACCTAGCAAGCCAGAGATGATGCAACTTTTGGCAGAGTGATGCTGTAGTGTGATCTGTTGAACGTCAATACCTCTGCCTAGGATATGCTTGGGAATCACCTACTTGGAATCAGCATGAGCAAACACTCAAAGAAAAAAATGGTTACTTACATTCTTCTAACTTACTCTTTGAGATTTGTTGCTCATGTCCATTCCAAAACCCACTCACCTGCTACTCTTTTGAAGTACTCTGGCAAGAAGTAACTGAAAAGACGGCAGGTTGCCAGGAACATATGTACACCATCCTGAAAGTGTGATTCCAGGATGTTCCGCAGCTGACCAAATGGGTACTGCTAAGGGAAAAGCTTTCCACATTGCATGCACACACTTACTTGGAATGGACATGAGCAAGCACTTGAACAACAGTTATGCTCGGTGTGGCTCCAAAGCTTGGGTCTTTCTCCAACAGAAGTTGATGCGATTAAAAGATATTATCTCACCCACTTTGCCTCTCTCAAGGTCAAAGTCAATTTTAGTTTTCAGGGAGTCATTTTGTACATAAATATCTCAATAGCTTGTGTAAAACAGTTACATTTTATTAAAGCCTGTTTTAGGATTAAGTGTCTGGTAATTCATTGCATATATCAGATGCATAAAGAAATTATAATGATATAGGTAGCCTTTAATCTTTAGGTCCTTGCTTGGAAAACAGGTTGACACTAACTAAACAAGGTTGCTGCTGAAAGCTTCTTTGGTTAGACAGTATAAAATTAGTTAATGGGACTTGGCCTATCCACTGTTGAGTGGGTCTAAATTATAGCTTGTTTCTTTTTTGCTGTACATAATTAAAGAGATGGTGGGCATGGTGACTGAACAGTACCATAATTTAGAGAGGGTCACACCAGAATAAGGTTGAGACTTATGAGTAGGCAGTGATAAAGCATATATTACCAGTCTTGCAACTAAAGTTTTTTCCATTTGTCCATATAACACATACAAGTATTATCCAACCATTCTCTTTCATGGTTTTACCCACAAAAACTCCTGATATATTTGTTAGTCTCTAAGATGCCACAGGACTGCTCATGTATAAAATTACGGACTAACCCAGCTACCCCTCTGAGACATTATTTCATGACACTTAACTAATTAGAACTGAATAGAGCAGTATCAACACAGCAATGTTTGTGTCCTCTTATTGTTACTCTGGTGTATAAAGAGGAACTTATAAACTATTTTCTAGACTACTTTCTTTGTAGTAGAAAAATTGAAAATTAAGGCATCGATCCTGCAATGAGCTCCATGCATATAAACCTCTATTGATTTCACTGTGGTTCTATGCAGATGTCCATATGGCGATCAGGCAGTAAATAAGTTCATTTGTTTTCTGCTTACACAAATATAAAGCAGAAAATGCTTCTAGGGAGCATTATGCATGGGAAGGTAGCTAATCACAGCCAGGCTGTCATTCTTTCAGGGGTCTGAGGAGTTTGTGACTTGTGCTTCTTTAGAACAACTTAAATAGGTAGTTCAAATATGTAGTAATGCTCATAATGATGTGAACTATAATTATCTATATTGAATGAAGAGCGATTCTAAATAGTTTGGGTGAGCGTCAAGCAATGTTGCTTTCTGCTCTTCTACAGTTGCTCTAACCATACACTATCTGTGTTTTTTCAGTTCTCAAAAGGATGCATCATTCCATTCACTATGAAGATCACCAAAGTATGAATGCCAATTCAGTACCTCAACCTCACATGAAAGTATTTCTAGATTCTTTAAGTAGTCAAGGGCTAGAAGAAGTAAAGCAGTGTATGCATTCTCCAATATCGGTATACCCACAAAGAAATCATTACATATACATGGGCAGCACTGATGTAGCAAGGTCTTGGCTAGAATTGGTGCATCCAGTTACATCTCCTCTCCAGCATCCAGCTCTAAGCTACTGTGGTCCACTGGAGAAGCAGCATGTTCAGTTGTACCATACACCGTCTCAACAAGGCTATGAAATAGAAATGCAGCAAAATCATCCGGTCAAACATGTACAACTGCAGATAGCATCTCAGCCTTCCCCTGAAGCACAATTTAAAACATCAGCCTATGAACATGAAAGAAGACTGTCATACGTTTCCCAACCTATGAAGAAAAGGAAAATTGACACATCATTAGAAGACAACTATATTAAAAATCAAGGTTATCTGCAGAAAATACCTGTTACTGTACTAACAATGCCTAGCCATACCCAACAGCAGGCTTACAATGCTATTCAACAAGAACTGCTAACAGTAGATAGCAATCAACTGTACGGACTTGCACCTGGTACAGGAACAAATGGTCAACTGCATGATATAAAATCATGTGCAGTATGTCCTACTCCTGCAGTTTGCCCTGAAGCTCAGAATTTGGTGAATACCCCTCTTTATCAGGATGTCTGCAGTATTATTCAGATGGGTGACATGACTATGAATGTGACTAGCATTAAGTTAGAAGAAAGCAAGGATAATATTCAGGCTGTGTCAGAAACTAGAAAGAGTATACAGGAGAGTCCTGTTCCTAGTACACTGCATTTCCCAGCGCAGTTCTTAAATAAGAGTGAAAATATGTTCCTTCCTCTCGATGTACAGAGTGGAAAAGGGATGTATCAATCTGAGGAATACTGGGATGAACAATGGGTACAGGTAAGCACAAATATGAGATGTGTGTGCATGACTTCTCTGGGTCCAAACTTAGACCTTTCTGTTTTTCTGAACTATCATCAAATGGATTTCTGCTCAGGTGAAGGTGAATTCAGGTGAGAGAGTCTGAAACTTTAGCTGCCAAAGTGGATAAAAACATCCTGAAGTGTTTAACAAGTTGTAGGGGTTCACCCCTTGTGTGGAGGGGCTTACGTCCGCCCCCCTCAGTTTCCCCAGTTGATAATGACTCGATGTGACCGATTTCACTTGATTCAGCTCGGCGGTTGGGGGAAGGGGGTCCGGGCCCGCCCTCGCTCCGGACCCCGACCCAGGGCCCTAAGGTCAGGGAAAGAATCCCCGCCTAGCAGGGGGGGGTCGAGATCCCTAAACTCCCCTGCTCTCAGGGTCCGCGTCCTCGCCCTGGGCCACTTCTTCCCCCAGGTCCAATTGCCTCACCTGGGCTCGCACTCTGGGCCTGTCCAGGGCCTCCAGTACCCGCATCCGACCACCGGCTCTCAGGGGGAATGCGTCTCCTCAGCGTCCCCCCTTATCGCCGGCCCTCTGCGCCCATTTAAACTGCCTGCCCGGCGCAGGCAGATGATGTCACCGCCCTCGTCGGCCTCCGGCCCCTCCCCAGGCCGGCCCTCCTGTGACAACCATTCTTCCGCCTCCTCCCGCTGCCCTTTGGCGGCGTTCTCCGCCAGTCCCGGCTAGTTACCCGGCCAGCGTGCCGGCCCCCCTCCCGCTCGGGGAAAGCGGGCGGCTCTCCAAGCCACATCGGGGGGTGAGCTTCTCCCCCGCGATCGCGGTGTCCGGGAGGGGCGGAGCTACCCTGCCACACAAGTGTATAAATCATTATTGCACAGACTGCAGAGAAATATTTAACAGTGCAGCATTAGATTTTTCTTGTTTAATTGCATAATGTACTCTGATAATCAAACTTCCCTATTTGATAGGCTATTGCCATATTAAAAGACAAATCTGTTTTACATCACATTTGTCCAATAATTTTAAATGTTCTTCTTAGGGATGTAAAAATGTGTTTTTTAAAAATGTAACTGTGTAACAGCTAAAAATCATAGCTGCAGGCTCTGTAGTATAAAGATTAAATAAGTGTTTTTTTTTTTTTGTTTTTTTTTTTTTGTTTACTGCAGAGTCTGCAGTGAAATCTTCTCTCTTGGAGTGGGGCTGCCAGTTAACTAGAACTCGTAAACGTAACCCATTAGGGATGAGGCTTATTAGTTAACTAGTTGATCTTTTACATCCATAGTACCTGTTTAGATTTTTTTTTTTCATTCTACTTTATAACTGATTTAGGCAAAATGCTTTTTACTTCAGTTTCTTTAACTCGCTGAAATACAACTATATTTACCATCCTTTTCTCTTACTTAATTAGTCTGTTATATTATAAACAGCTATATTAAACTGTTATTCTAGTCTTCATTAAACATCATCCTTCTAAACATTCATATACTGATATGCTTAGTTATATCTGACTGATAAATATCAGTTTGATAGGCTAGCAGTACCCAGCTCTTTCTTCCCACTCTCTTTACAGATACCCTGATTTTTCTCTTTCTTATTGAGTACTTATGGCTTCATAAAATCATAGAGTTGGAAGAGACGTCAGGAGGTCATCAAGTCCAGTCTCCTGGCCAAGGCAGGACCAATCCCAACTCAGTCCTCCCAGACAGGGCTTTGTCAAGCCAAGACTTAAACCTCTAGGGATGGAGATTCCACCACCTCCCTAGGTAACCCATTCCAGTGCTTCACCATCCTCTTAGTGAAATAGTTTTTCCTAACATCCAACCTACACCTCCCCCACTGTAACTTGAGACCATTGCTCCTTGTTCACAGTAGTGACGGATAGCAGAACAGTCTTTCTCCATCCTCTTTGGAATCTCCCTTCAGGAAGTTGAAGGCTGCTATCAAATCCCCCTGTCACTCTTCTCTTCTGCAGACATATGTATAAGTAGGGCTCGACAAATACACTTGCCTGCTCGCCTGTGGCGAGTAGATTTTACCAGCTGGCGAGTGCAGGGGTGGACTGGCCTGGTGGGCCACTGTGACAGGCTGGCCGAAGCCCGTACTACGGGCGGCGCAGCCCCATCCAATCCGCCGGCCGGTGGAGGAGCAGAGCGTCACTGGGAAGGGGGAAATGCGGCGATTCTTGCCACCAGGCTGCCTGCATGCATCTCCAGCGCGAGGAGGCGGGGCGTGAGCCAGAGGGCGGGACACGGGCAGACTCCAGGACACTGGCGTGATGCAGCCCCACTGATTTTAAAGGGCTGCAGCAGCTTGGCTCTGGCCACGTGTCCCCGGGAGCTGGCTGCAATGTGTGGCATGGCCCAGCCTGGCCGGCTCCAGTCCTGCCATGGTCCCAGCCCCCACGCCAGCGAGAGACCGCTCTCTGTTGACCGCCCGGCTTGCTGCAACTGCTCTTGTCTCTGGGCCGCCTGTTCCCCCATGCCGCCCCTGCGCCCCATACCGTGAACCCTGGATCCCTGCTCTCCCTCTTCCCTGTGACTCTGGCTCTGTGCTGACCTTGCACCCCGTACCCTGCCCCCCAGCTCTGTGCTGCCCATTCCCTGCACTGCCCCTAGCCCCCGATCCCTCTGCCCCTCCCGTTCCCCGTGTCCCATTTGCTGTGCCTCTACCCCACCCCTGCACTCTGCTCCCCCTCGATCCCTGCGTCCCTCTGGCTCTGTGCCTCCCATTCCCTGCGCCACCCCTGTCCTCTCCCTCCCCCATCTTTCCGTGCACACCTGGCTCTGTGCTGTCCCTGCACCCTGCTGCCTCTGTGGGTCGAGAGTGAGGGGTGCTTGTCCATTGGAAGGGGCTGGACAGGGCAGGGAAAAGGCTGCTGTGACCCAGCAGTGAGTGAAAGGGGGAGTTCACTTGAAGTGCCTTTGCCTTTATGGAAAAAAGAATGAAAATGCTATTTGCTATTTATAAGGCTAAAATGCTGGGACAAATATGAAAACAAGCAAAAAAAACCCATTACAAAATGCAAATGTGTAAAAGACATCAAAGGGGGGGGAGAGGAGCGGCCAAAAAATGTTTTGCTTGGGGCAGCAAAAAATGTAGAGCTGGCCCTGGGGGAGGGGAAGGGAAAATATGGGGAAGGGGCTTGTGCTGAGGGAAGGGAAGGGGAGGAGGTCAGAAGAAGAAGAAAGGGGGGAAGGCACCAAGGGATAGGGGTGCAGGAGAGACCAATCCCAGGGGGCCAAGTGCAGAAGATGAGGAGACGGGAAGGTGTCAGTGGGAGGGGAGAACAAGGTGATGCTGAGAGAGGAGAAGGTAAGGGCACTGGGGGCTAGAGAGGGAGGGGGATGTACTGGGAGAAGGCTTGAAAGAAGGGGTGGGTATGAGGAAGGCGGGGATGGAGCCGGGCATCTGTGAGGGCACAGGGGCATGAGGGGAACGGGGTCAGAGGGTGGTGAGGGGGTGGGTATCAGGGAAAAAGAGAGTAAAGGGGTCGGGGCAGAGAGGGAAGGGGAGGCACCAGGAGGGTGCAGGTGCCAGGGGATTGTGGGGGTGAAGCAGAAGGGCAGATACCTGCAGGGGAGGGACCAGCACCAGAGGAGAGAGGCAGAGCAGGTGTATAAAGGGAGGTGTTAGGAGATGGGATGAGGAGGGGTAGCTCACATGATCAGAGTGGGGCTACTGGAGGAGTGGGCACGGGGAGAGAGAAGGGCTGGTGGAGGGGGCAGGTCTTAGGAAGGCCTAGGGCAGTGAGAAGGGCTGAGTCAGGAGAGCAGAGGAGGGTGAAGGGTTGGGGGCAGCAGGCACGAGGGGAGCTGATGGAGCAAGGGGAGATTTGGCAGCAGAAGGAAAAGGTAGCGGTTTGTAAGATATTTATTAATAACAGTGGCACATCCAAAAAAGCCACATGAACTCAGTACTGGTGGGCAGCAGGCATCAGGGGAGCTGATGAAGCAAGGGAAGGAGACATGGCAGCAGAGGGAAAAGATAGATGCTTATAAGATATTTATTAACTTATTATAATGTTCTTATTAGGAATTTATGCCATTAAACACTTTTTTGGGGGGAGGGTGGCGAGTAAAGGTTTTCCATAATTTGTCAAGCCCTGTGTATAAGTATATGCTGTCAATCTGTATTAAAAATTATATATGCACAAAGACTAAGGGGGTGATATGCAAAGGCACAAACTGTAGTTTGATGTCTAGTCCCCAGTGTCATTTAGTGAGAGTTGTGCCCCTTATTTCTATTTATGTATCTGAAAATCTCCCTTCCTCATGTTCTCAAACCAATACAGGTCAAACCTCCCTTGTCCAACACCCTCAGGACTTGAGTGGTCCTGGACCCTAACAATGGAGTTTGCTGGATGAAGGGAGGTCACGGCTCCCTACCTGGCTGTAGGCTCTGCCCCTGGCTGGGGCTGCAACCCCCCCCCCCCCCCCATGCCAGCCCCAGACAGGGGCCGGTCCCACTGCCTCCAGCCCCAGCCAAGGCTGTGCCCTCCCCCAACAGTGCTGTCCCAGGCTGCATGCCCAACTGACTCTAGCTGCGGTAGAGGCCAAGCTCACCACCGCCAGCCCTGTCTGGAACTGCACTCCTGCACCGCAGCAGCCCCAGCTGAGGCTGTGCTTACCACCACACCAATCCTGACTAAGGCTGCGCTTCCCGCCACACCAGCGCTGGCTGAGGCTGCACTCCTTGCCGCCAGCCCTGGCCAGGGCTGTGCTCTCCACTGCACTGGCCCTGCTGGGGCTGGGATCCCCAACCAGGTACCTGTCCAGCCCAGGCTGTACTTTTGAACCTGAACAGCAAGGGCTTCCTGGCCCAACAATATTCGTGGTCCTGCCTGACCATGGGTGTTGCTGGATCAGAGTGTCCTGGATTTTAGAGGTTCAACCTTTACTGAACTTATTTCAATAAACGTTAACTTGCATCAGTACAGTTTGCATACACAAAGTATGAATGCAAACTGAATATACAGTATGAACTTGACTCTTGCTTCAGTTGCCTGAGAATTTAAA